AAGAAGATTTGTTCAGACAGTAAACAGTGCAACAGAATTTCTTTTGTTTCTAAAGATGATATACAAGTCTAAAGTAAATGAAATTCTCAATATTAAAAAGCATGATTTTTTCTTTGCTGCTGCAGAATTCAACATACTGGATGTTGTTAAAATCTTGATAGGAATTCAAAAGACACTGGTAAAAAGACAAGTTACAAATATACATTTATTCAATTCAAAGTCCGAAGCTGTTTTGAACAAATCTATAAGAAGGACATATTTTAGAAGTATAGAACATATTTCCTGTGTTAAATCCGACAGAGTCTGGATCAGTCTTCAAAACCATCTCATCATGATAAACAGGACAGGAGACCCATTTTATCATTTCACATACAGAAGTAGTGGATTGAGAGTGCACACAGTAACCAAGGAAGGTGATCTTACTTTTTTTGATAGGGATAAAGTTAAGCTACTATCTAAAGATATCTGAATGATGTTCAGAGTAATTAAGAAAACAAGACCATGGATACCCCACTGTGTCACCTGTTCTAACTCCCATGGAGATTTCTTGGTCGGGATGTGGAATTTCGATAAAGGCAGGGTAATAATGGTATAGGAAAGTTCAAACAGACAATACCAACCGAAAACTCAGACCAGGAACTATATGGTTGCCCTTTTTATATCACAGAGAACCGTAATGGGGATATAATTGTGTCTGACAGGGACCGTGGTGCTGTTGTGGTGACAACTCGAAAAGGAAGACATCGCTTCTCCTACACAGGGTCTCCATCAAGCACACTAGAACCACATGGCGTCTGTACAGACGCCCTGTCAAACATCCTGGTATGTGATGATAACACCAACTCAGCACATCTGATTGACGAGGATGGTCACTTCCAGACCATGTTATTGACGGAACATCAAGGGATTGAGAAACCAAATAATCTAAGTTATGATGAAAAAACTCACATTCTCTGGGTAGGATCATCCGACAAAAGATGGAGTTTATACAGATACATAGAAAGTAAGATCACTTTAAAATGTAGTATTGCTTTGAAAGTTAAAAAAATAGATATGGGTTACCCCATATCCAAAGATATTCGACATTTAGATTTAATAGTCTTTAATGACTTCTAAAAACAAAATACTGCACTGTCCTGTTATGGAACTGGTGTAAAGTTCATGAGATCGTAGCATTACTGTCTCCCAGTCTCCAAGCAAACAGTGCACATACCTGTGTCTGCAAGACCAGTTAGCATTGGTCTACACACGTGCAATGAGATTGTCAAACGCATCTGGCGAGCTCGGAGAAACACGTTTGTTTTGCCCAGAAGATACAATGGCAGGTCTGGTGTTGTATAACCTGGATTAAGAATTCGACATTTCAATTTACTTTCAAGAAAATCATCAAGAAAATATAGCCATAGAAAACCACGCTTTCCTTGCGTAGATAATCTGGTAAACTTCTTTTCTTCACAATTTTAAACATTTAACTTTATATTTGATTACATACAAGAAAATTCATTAAGCAACATTTTTACTGAATTAGATCATATGAATACGACTTCTGATTTATAAAAATTACACAATACATCCACTTCAAAGTGTGTTTAAAATGGTTTACTAAAATCTGGACCGGGTCGGGAAATTCGAAACTGAAAACCTCATTTTGTTTTTTGGAAAATTACTGAAATATACTAATGTATTCGTCATTTAACTTACTTATATAATTCAAATTCTATATATAATAAAATAATATGCTGAGCTTCAACATGAACCTGGTTTTCAGTTTAGATATCTCCGGCCCGGTTCGAGTTTTGCTACACATTTTATAATTACGCTCCGTACAGTTTATACAATCTACACACGTGCAGAAATCTGCCCAGGAATTAAAAATTCAGTTATTTAATAAAACACACACACAAAATAAATATTTTTCCTCTAAGTGGAAATTATGTGATAATTTACGAACAATAAACATGAACTTAATACAATTGTTGACATAGTATAATCAATTAATCGGTGAAGAAATATCAATCGAAAAATGACCTAGATATTTAAAGCGGCAATACGGCTGCAAATCGTATGCTTTTTCATTCAAATTTACCCAATATATCACTCAGGAATAAGGTAAAAAGTTGAGGTAAACATTTGAGAAAAATAAATATTCTCTCCTCATGTAAAATTAACGTAATTGAAATCTGCCGGAAAATCAAGGGTCGTACAGCTTAATTCTGTTTATTTGTACCGCGTGAATTCTAAAATGGCACGTGTATACAATGCAGGGTTTGCAATTATAATGGAATATTAAGTAAAAACAATTCTGAGAATCAAAATATCTTAACTCTCCGGTAAATTAGTAGTTGTTAACATATTAGTCTGCATTCAGACGAATTTAACGTGATTAAGTACAGATGTTGACGTTATGTGTATTTGGGTGCAGGAAAAGAAAATCCACCAAATCATACGTCATCGCGGCAAAATGTCAAACAAAATATCTCTCTGCAGTTCTATTTACAATTTGCTTTTCAAATGGCAATAAATTTTATACGTCATAAGCGCATTTTTACGTTGAGTTTACACTGATGAAAAAACTATACGCATGCGTGAATAGCATGGAATGTGGAACCTCGAACACGTTGCGATGTATATATTTATGGGCCATAAATAATTATTAATTTTAATGAAATAATCAGAATTATTTACTTATGAAATTTGTAATTTTCTGAAAGTGTATACATTTATGAGTATGAAAAAAATTCCATATCCTATAGGAAAATTTTAACAAGTCTGTTTTTGAAGAGATGCACCATATTGTCACTTTAAGGAATGACTCTAATTCTTGGCCAAACTATTCGATGATAACCTGGTTTGGGTCAGTTTACGCTTTATAATCCGCGAAGCGAATTATAAAAAAGCGTAAACTGACCCAAACCAGGTTATCATCGAATAATTTGCCAAGAATTAGATTCATTCCTTATAATTTAATTTTAAAATAATTAAAACAACTATGGGTGCAAATTGTATTGCTTTTTATGAGTTTAAATTTGCCGCTCAATAATACATCCCTAGTAACGGAAGTGATATGAAACAAAGGGAAGTAATAACTGATATACAGATCTAGCAGCCATGATGTTCGTGTACACGAGGTAAGATCGAGCTACTCTTTAAAGTTAAAGATGCATTTATTCAATCTGGAATTTACCATAAATTCAAAGGAATGGAAATGAGGGGATTATGTGGATACAGATGATTCAGCTGGTTGTCAAGGGGTGTGTCCCCATACCAAACCAGGTTATTAGGAAATAATTTGCGTTCCTTTTTGGGAATCAACCAATGAGAGACTAGAATACAAACAAAATTTAATTATTCTCTGTTATCAAACATGTTAAGAATTCAAAAGACTGAGGAGCGAGCGAGCGTAGGAATATTAATATTCTGTATTTACATTTCGGCGAGAAAGTGATTTTCTAAAACATTTTTACGTTATTTCTGGATTCTTTAACCTATGACATACACGGAATTATTCTAATCATAAACAGTAATATTGTATCTACTTATCATGATGGAACTTTTTTGTCGGAACAATTTGTGTAATATAGTTCTTCAAATAATAATAAACACTGATCGAATATATTAAAAAATGTACAAAAATGATTAATGGTTAATTATTGACTTGATTCGAAATGTCAACAATATAAAGGGTCAAAATACTTTCCATTTGATTAAATGTAGATCAATAAATATCCCACAGGTCTTATACAAATGCTATGAATCTCCAAAGGCTGTCAATAATTTTGATAACGTAACAATCGAGTTCATTTCCTGATAATTTCTTTTTACACTGATGTTTATTATTTTCATTTCTTTGGATTTAAGACGAATATTTATTCGTATATTTCCCGAATGACCCAGACATTGTTTGGTCTTGTACGTGTCTCGTTGAATTATCCGATTGATTGATTGATTAATTGTATATTGTTTAACGTCCCTCTCGAGAATTTTTCACTCATATAGAGACGTCACCGTCTGCCGTTGAAGGGCTTCACATTTTCACCTTTACTCGGCACTCAGGGCCATTGAGCAGTGAGGGATCTTTATCGTGCCAACGCCTGCCGCTGACACGGGGCCTCGGTTTTTAAGGTCTCATCCGAAGGACCCGCAAATTTCACTTCAAAGTTCCGAGCACATGGCGAAGGAACAGTTGCTACCCATTTTATCGACTGGGTCAATCGCGGCCGAGATACGAACTCACGACCTCCCGATCACGGAGCGAGCTACCGTGAACGGTTTGAATTATTCGAATATTCTCATAAAGATTCACCAGTTCCGGGGTGCGATTTACGAAAAAACTTATGACCAAGACCAAAAATTCTAGTTAACTGTAATGTTTTGCAAAATAGATTATTTTGTTGGAAATAGAATTTAGGTAAATTACTTTTTTAAAACCGGCCCCAGTTCAGAATTCTTATATTGAGAGAACAATCATCACTTCTAATAAGCATTTTTTGGTTTATGATTGCGTAAAGTCAAAATCGGCGATCGATATCTTCTGTTTCAGTTTACAGAACTTCAAAGGAATTTTAGGTAAAAAAAAAGTAAGGGCAATTTTTGATTTATAATAAAAATTCACTTGAAATTAATGGAGGATATTGAGATAACGAACAGTTATCAATATCAAAGTCCATAAAACAATACAAAATAGGATCAGAGCAAACACGGACCTCCGAAACATCAGAGGTGGGATCAGGTGCCATGGAGGAGTGAGCGTCCTTTACTGACCGGTCACACCCGCCGTGTGCTCCTCGTCATGATCGGAAAATAACGGGAAAACCTGTCGTCAATTCAGTGTTTAAAAAATGGACTAGCTAACAATTTGTATGAAAAAAGTCAGTCAGCATTTGTCTCAATGATAAATTGTATTTGCTGACAAGGTCATTGTACCGACCATAGAATTTACGAAGTGATTCCCAAAAACCACATGAATATTGTCAATAGGAAACTCAAGGACCTTTTTAATGTCATTTATTATAACAATGTAAACTCCATCCCGAGAATGAAGTCCTGCTCGAGCTAAGACTTTTAACTTTTCCTCCAGAATCGGCTCCCAGCTGTACATATACATGATCGCCTTTATTTGCATCAGCAACAACTGTTCCAGTTGAAAAATCCCATACGCTAGAGCTTGCCGAATCTGCATATCTTGAACCAATGGTATGAGCGTTTTTCATCAGCCGGCTGTTTAACCATCCGTGAGTGTCAGACATGATTGCCCAAGTAAACACATAGGTTCCGGAGGTTGGAACAACAAATATGCCATCATAAGCGTTGTATCCATTGCCTTTGTTCAGAGGAACAACATCGAACTTCAGAATATGATGTGCAGGTAATGACCCCGAGCTATCTTTTGATATGTAAGCATGAAAAGCGATTAGTTCCGTGGGTAAAGATGTTGGTGGCACTGATAAGATTGAAAATAAGGGAATAACATTCATCTGTTTGTTTTAATTTTTTTGAAATTGCTAACGACAAAATGTTTTCAACGACTTTTTGATTGTAAAATCTTACCGATCCTTTTCCTCACAAGCTTTTCTGGATAGTCATCACGTGATTCAGGAACCATCTTTCCATCACTCCCGAGCTCTCTTTTTCCATTAGCAGTCGGTCCATCATCCCTCAAATTCCAAGACTCTCCCACAACTTCTTCATGTTCCCTCCTCGTATTATCTTCTTCACCACCATTACAACCTTTACAGTTCATTATGATATTCTCCATTGTCTGAACTTTCATCTTCAAGTGATCGTTTTGAGAGCTCAATCTAAGTACAGTTGCACTCAAAGTCTCCAGCTTTGCCTCCAAGGATGCAACTTTCCCATCCAACTTCTCGATGGACACGCAACATACCACACTTAGAACAAGATAAAACACAATGCACTGTATACTTAGACTCATTTTGTCCGCAAATGAATGTCCTATATAAAACGATCAGGTTTTCTGAAGATCATCGAAGATAAGAAGTGTGAACAGTGTTCTATGTATGCTTTATAAATAACTTCTGATAAAAGACCTAACATGAAACATCATAGAGAAAGGCGTTTTCAAGTTGTTTAATCATAGAAGATAACGAGAAGTAGTTTCTAGTCCGCCCAATGCCTTTGCTTCCGTTATGGAGGGACATTTCTTGACTTTTCTTTACTGTTGCATAAAAAAGTCAGTCTGTCACCTTGTTCTCTGCATCAATAGAGAGTACTTATCTTACAGAATGATATGAAGATAACGAACAGTATTCAATATAAGTCCATAAAACAATACAAAATAGGATCAGAGCAAACACGGACCTCCGAAACATCAGAGGTGGGATCAGGTGCGATGGAGGAGTGAGCATCCCCTGCTGACCGGTCACACCCGCCTTGTGCTCCTTGTCATGATCGGGAAATAACTGAAAAATCCGTCGTCAAGTCAATGTATAGATAAAGCGCTTACAATTGGTAGGAAAAACGTCGGTCAGCATTTGACTCATTGAAAATCTGTATTTGCTGACGAGCTCATTGTATCGACAAAAGAACTTACGAAATGACACCTCTCTTTCATTCTTGGATATTTTACTTGAAAAAGACGTTAGTGGTATTCTAACAACCAAGCTATATGATAAACGTGATGAATTTAGCTTTTCTATCGTCAACTTCCTTTACTTATGCAGTAATATACCTTCATCACCCGTATACGGAGTATGTATATCTCAGTTGATTCGATATGCAAGAGCATTCTCTAAGTATGAACAATTTTTAAAACGAGGTAAATTTTTGACAAGCAAGTTGATAAAACAAGAATATCAGCAGTCTTGTTTAACGTCATCATTTTGTAAGTTTTTTTTGCCGATACAACGACCTTGTTAGCAAATACAATTTATCATTGAGTCAAATTAGTATTTCATACTAATTGTTAGTCCATTATTTATACACTGAATTGACGACGGATTTTCACTTTATTTCCTGATAGTGGCAGGGGGCACACGGCGGGTGTGACCGGTCAGCAGGGGATGCTCACTCCTCCATGGCACCTGATCCCACCTCTGATGTTTCGGAGGTCCGTGTTTGCTCTGCTCCTATTTTGTATTGTTTAATGGACTCTGAGATTGAATACTGTTTGTTATCTCCATATCCTTATTTCACGCATAAGATTTTGTACAAATTCTGTTCATATGAATATAAAAATGGGTCTGGTAATAACGGAGAGTAATTGGTACTTATTGGAATTCCAATAGATTGTTTGAATACCTGGTCTCCAAAAACCACATAGATATTGTCAATCAAAAATTCAAGCATCTTTTTTATGTCAACTTCAAAGTACCTGTTTGTGCAATCAGAATGTGTTTTAACAAAATAATTTTGCAAATGACCAATGACCTGTTTTATCAAAAAGCAGTTGTCAATGATATCAAAAAGCCTGGACTAGCTTTAATTTATTGTTGGGAATGGTTGTAGGTGAAAAGTCGTAAGTTTTTAAGCTGTTGATTTTGGTAAAAATCAGTTAAACCAAAGGGATTAATCTAAATTCATCTATCTCTTGCATACACTGTTTGGAAGGTCTGTATAGAAGCTGAACTGATGCCTCGATTTATACACAACCATTTCATCTGCCAGTTCTACTTGGTTGATGATCAAATTAAGACTGTCAAAGACGGCCAGTACACATAGAAGTTGACTGTACGATTGCTTTCGCAGTCTCTGGGAGTAGCACATCACTAAGAAAGACAACGTATTCCCGGTCAATCCGACAGTAGTGACAATAGGGGTCACCACGTGTTTTACCCAGAATCCCCAAATCAGAATTTCCGGTGGACTGACTGAAAACGTAATTTCATGAATACATGCATTTAACAATTAATAACTTTTTTTTCAAAGTATGTAAGAAAAATAAGAAAGTAAAACGTACATATAATGGTGTCGTTCCTGGAACTATTCCAAATCATAGTAAAAGATAGATTATTATCCATGTCACTGTAAAAAACGAGATGATCCAATGAAAATGAATTTAAAAACAGATGTTTAAGAAACTGTTGATTGTTGGCCGAAACATCTAGAATTCATCAAATCAAAAAAAAAAATAATCTCATTTTTGCATGTGTTATTTGGACAAGTGAATGTTGACAAATGTTAACTGCTAAATTCCGTCTATACTGTTGACATCACCTTGTTTAAATCAATTGATAACGTTCCGAGTTTCCTTTTTACAATGATTTTATAACGTCTATGAGCATTTGTCCTGACTTCATAGTTCTATTTTTGAAATTTTATTCTACTTAATGTGACTGAAATATCAAGTGTATAAGTTAATAAATTTACAGCCAGTAAAAACCTCAATTTTCCGCAGTGTTTGTTAAATAGAGGTGATTAATGATATTTTTTTTATATTTTGCTACCTTCTGCCATTGAATACACAGAAAATATTGAAATAAATACGTTCATGTAATGAATGACCTAAAACCACCTGGACATGATGACTTTGACCTGATAATAAGGTCATAATGACCTTATTGAGTGGCGCGAAAAGTCTCAGCTGATTTTACTAGTCCTCAGCCATTCTGTCAAAACAAGACACGTCTCAAATGCTTAATGTATTTACAGATAAAGGCTTACTTAGTATTCACGGATAAAGGGTTATTTTTTACTGTAAGAAACCATTTCATTGAAAATTGTCATCTATGGTGAAATATAGAAAGGGGAGTTTGAAGAACACATATTTATCTATCAAACTACAGTTATAAAGATATTGTTGAAGTTTAATAAAGGATAAGGCTTGATTAGATGTTACCTTATTTTACGTCAGTATTTGAAAAGAACTTTCGTATGTCGAAATTAGTTAAAAAAAGAACTAGAAAGGTAGAAAAGAAAAGACATCATTTGACACTGATTGTAAATTTGAAATATGTTGAACTATGTAAAAATATTTTTTTTAAATAATATTAAGAAGAAAAAGGAAAAAGTAAAATAATATTGAATACTCTTTTGGAGGAAACCATTGTCTGATTTTTTTTGTTTTCCTTTTTATTTTTTTTTTAACTCTAAAAATACTTCAGCTTTAAAATCTTACTTGAGCTTTAAAATCTTACATCTCTGACCTTAACGTTTTTCTAAAAAAATTGAAGTCAGGTGAAACATATTGAGAAAATTAACAGTTTTCAAGACCAAAAAAGTCCATAAAACAAAATAAAAGAGGAGCACACCAAACACGAACATCCAAAATACGGACAAACTCTGTATACAGGTGATGAAGGTATATTGCTGAATATGTAAGGGAAGTTGACGATTGTAAAGTTAAAATCATCACGTTTATCATAGAGCTACGTTGTTAGATTACCATGAACGTCTTTTTTTCCAATAAAATATCCCAAAATGAAATAGAAATGTCTGACTAGGTAGTATCTCTATCTCAAAATCACCGAGATATACCTATTCGACATAAGAATGAAAATCACCGTTGTTTATTGACAATGGGTCGTCGATATATGTAAATGTCATCCAACATAACGCAAGGTTTAAGGAACGCCGTAACAGCCTTATGTGGAGAGCCTTCATCATGTGCTGATACTTTATCATCATATGCTGGTACTTTGTCATTATATAATGGTAGTTTGTCATTATATGATGGTGCTTTGTCATTATATGATGTTACTTTATCAGTATATAATTGTACTTTGTCATTATATGCTAGAACTTCTTTTAACATAAGGCAGTTACGGCGTTCCATAAAGGTTAATAGCAAGCGTTTTCTTCTTTTCTAGCATACGGTTTTATATAAATTTTGCAAAGAATTTTGAATTAAAGGTTAAAACTAGTCATTATAATGTTGGTCTGGCACCATACCGATCCTTTTATTATCAAAGTCAAAGAGAGTATAGGTAGGTCTTAATTTGAAACCTTCACATATAAATGGTGATGTATTTTTTGTTAGAGAAAAATTCTCGAGTAGTGCCTAAAACAACATACATTCAACCAATCCCATATGTTTATAAAGTTTATTTTTAAAAATTGTATCAGACTTTGAATTTAAATTTTCTCATCAGTCAACAGTTATGAGCCCACTGTATTCAGGTAAATGGAGTTTTCTATTTATTTGTTTGCTCACTGATATGAAGACGCCACCATATTTCAGTGAAGGCCTACTGCCCAAACAGTGAGACAACTCTTACTAAATATATACAACCATACGAATATCAAACATTGACACAATGTCACTTATGATACTGTACTACATGTATTTACGATGATTTGATACAAGTCATAGCTCAATTGGGACGAATGAGAATAAGTATTTTGTATTTCATCTCTTATGTGGACGATACAATTTTCTATGCTGGTATTTGTGTTTTTGCAAAAAAAAAAATTGATAGCTTTTATTTATTGCTTTCCAACTTCAATGTAAAACCCATCAAGAAAATGTAGTTCGGCTTCTTAAGATGCTTCTTACACTTCCTATAGAATTGCTCCCCATTTGTACATATTCATGATTTCCTTTATTTGTATCAACAACAACTGTTCCCGTAGAAAAGTCCCATACGGTAGAACTTGCCAAGTCGACATATCTTGAACCAATGGTATCAGCGTTTTACATTAACCTGCTATCTACCTGTCCGTGCACGTCCGACATGATTGCCCACGTAAACACATAAGTTGCAGAAATTGGAACTATAAATAAGCTGTCATAAGCATTGTATCCACCGCCTTTGTTAAGAGGAACAACATCGAACTTCAGTATATGATGTGCAGGTAATGGCCACGAGCTATCTTTTGATATGTAAGCATGGAAGCGATTAGTTCCGTTGGAAAGGATGTCGGTGGCAGTGATAGGATTGAAAATGAGCGAAAACATTCATCTGTTGTTTCAATTGTTTTGAAATTTCGAAAGACAAAATCTTTTCAATGATTTTTTGATTATTAAATCCTACTCCCACACATCTTCTTCATTTTCCCTTATCGTATTATCTTCTTCACCCCCAGTGTTCACGGTAGCTCAGTCGGTAGAGCGCTCGCTCCGTGATCAGGAGGTCGTGAGTTCGTATCTCGGCCGCGACTGACTTAGTCGTTAAAATGCGTAGCAACTGTTCCTTCGAAATGCACTCGGTACTTTGAAGTGAAAGTTGCGGGTCTTTCGGATGAGACCTTAAAAACCGAGGTCCCATGTCCGCGGCAGGCGTTGGCACGATAAAAATCCCTCACTCCTCAATGGCCCTTAGTGCCGAGTAAAGGTCAAAATTTGAAGCCCTTTACCGGCATATGGTGACGTCTCTATATGAGTGAAAAATTTTCGAGAGGGACGTTAAACAATATACAATCAATCAATCTTCACCACCAACATCACAGTATCTCAGGATATTCTACATGGTTTTAACCTTTTTCTTCAAGTGATCGTTTTCAGAACTCAGGCTAGGTACAATTGCGCTTAATATCTCTAGCTTTGCCTCCAAGACTGCAACTTTCTCATCCAACTTCTCGAAGGACAAGCGACATACCCCACTTAAAACAAGCAACACAATATACAGAATAAATTGTTTACTATGTCTCATTTTAAACGATTTCGTTTCCCGAAGAACGTGAGAGATAAGAAGTGTGAAATACACAGTATCTCTGTTTTATAAATATCTCCTTATAATAAAGGACATCATATAACACGCTCTTAATTAAAAATCGTCTTAGCAAAATGCGTTGCTGTATTAATATTTTTTTCAAAAGATCTCAACTTTTAAAGATCTCTCTCTCTCTCTCTCTCTCTCTCTCTCTCTCTCTCTCTCTCTCTCTCTCTCTCTCTCTCTCTCTCTCAAAATTAGGATTATTTCAAGAGAAATGTCCATCGCATAATTATTCTGCAGCGTTTGGAAAGATAAACTCAGTAGACCACTTTGCCCCATGCAAGAATGGAGAGTAGACTTATCTTACAGTTAAAACGCTAATTAAGGAGGCTGTTTCCTGTTACCAAAAGTATTTAGATAATTTGTAAAGTATATTTTAGAATCTACACACATCGCTTCATAAAAAATGGAAAATGGCCTTTTTTCAGCTCTATGGGGTAATAAATACGACCTTTTGCACTGTAATTATGTCTAACACATAATTCAATTTTTCAAATTTTTCCTCTCAAATTATTTATCCAAATGAATTATTGGATTAAATACAGTCTTTTTTCATATAAAAAAGTCACATTAAAAATATTGACAAAAAGAGTTTAAAATTACTTCACATACAGTGGTCAATTAATTGACTATTTGACATTTCTGCACCCAATACTGTAATCTTTCTGAAGTTAAAAATTTAGAAAGCAATAAAATCATTTGATATTGATAAACATTTTCTGAATTTACACAGGATGGTAAAAAATCATCTTAAAATCATGATTTTTTTAGATATTTCTGAAAAAAGGCTCATTTCAAGGTTAAATTGTGTGATTTTGTTTCACAAACTTTCATGATTCATTTGATATATATTTCCTAAATGTGATGACAAACTTAATGATAGTTGATTTAATATGATATAACTTGGGACTAGAATAGAAAATTGCACTGCACAAAATTACTCTGTGCAGCCTGCATGTAAAAATGGGAGTCCAAGATTAACACTACTGAATACTTTAGACGTACTTTTTTCCATGGGGTCATAATTCCGCGGAAACACAATTTCTGTTTAATTAACGGGTAGAAAAATACGCGAATATCTTAATGTTCTCCTTATATGCCTTACATTCATATTAAATACGCTTGGACATATGTGACCGCGTACATCAATTGTACATAGCGTAAATTAATACCACGCAGAAAAAGTACTTCAACAGTACTTTGAAGGAGGATAATTTGATCTTCTAAAATAAATTCCTCCACAAAATATAGTTCCTCACCATTTTTTTTTTTTCTGTATGGAATTTTATCAGCATTATAGAATCCAAATTTATTGAAAGAACTAAATTTATCATATTTTTTTAGATAGAGGCCAAGACAAAGATTTGCTGAAAACTAAGAATTTAACTTCGTTAATTTATCCAAATGTGTTGAGTTATTGAGTTGAAGACCAGAAACGAAATTTCAAAATAAGAAACACCAAGATAAATAATTTGGATTTGTAAAACAACAACTAAAGAGCTACTAAACTACTAAAGAGCATTTAGCGAATATATGATTTTTTACTTCCTCCTCGTCCCCCCCCCCGGTTGATGTGCAAGATTATTATACCCCTACCTGAAGAGTGGGAGGGTATATAGTAATCGGAATTTCCGTCCGTCCGTCTGTTCCGTTTCATCTCTTATCCGAAACTCCTCTTATACTACTGAAATCTAATGAAACTTTCACAGAATCTTCATTACATATTGCCATTGTGCACCTCTTATTTTACTCTTTTTCGACACGTATTTTAGGTTTCCCATAGCAAAACATAGACATTGTCACTATATGTTTACCTATGACGTCACATATAGAAGCTTCTGGATAACATTTGACATGACGAGTTTTTCCTCTTTACACATTACCGTAAAACATAATAAAGCAACACATGGACATTATGGGATTTCTAAAATAAAGTAAATTATTGACAAACAATTTGATGAAGCAAAAATATTAGCAGTCTCGTTTAAAGTCATCATTTCGTAAGTTCTACGGTCGATACAATACACCTTAACAATATGCCACAGTAGACAAAGATTAAATAGATCATTGATTTAATTTTATAGAGTTGTATCGAATATTTTTTCTGCATCGTTGCATTATTTAAATTGAAAGGATTTTGGCAGCGTTATCGTCATATCGATGAACGTCCTGGGCTTTAAAAATTCAAAGCACTTGTCATTGTTTATACAAGTTAAATACCAAGACAGTATGATCTCTTTTAAAATATGAGACATCCTTAAATCTTATGAAATAATCATTGACGACAATTCGATGTAAAGTGCGCGTTGTTAAGGTTTTATTCTCAAATTCAGATATCTCGAGTACGGAAATATTTTATGAGGTACTCGTCCTATATTTGGATCTTAATCAATGCTTTAGAGGTATGTATATTTCATCGAATAAAATATTATTTATTATTTTTAAAGAAAATTATCCACTTAGAAAATCAATTAAATTTAGTTTTTTCATGTAAATATAGCTGAGAGAGAGAGAAAGAGTGTGTGTGTGTGACGGAGGGTGTGTGAGAGGGTTTGTGTGTGAGAGAGAGAGAGAGGGTGTGTGTGTGTGTGTGTGAGAGAGAGAGAGAGGGTGTGAGGGTGTGTGTGTGTGTGAATGTGTGTGTGTGTGTGTGGTATCAAATTCATTTCTAATCGGAAAAATATTGGCATTGTTCTTCTGGTAAAGCTGCTATTTTACCGCACTTTTAAATTTAAACTTGTTTTTCATAATTTTAAGAAACTGGTTAAATTGAAATCAATATCTTCTGTTTCATTACTAATTTCCCTTCTTTGTAGCAATGTTAACATTTGCCTTATGCGTATGGTCTTATATGCAATATATTAAGGTAAGATTTTTTTCAATATGAAATCAAGTCATAAAATATTTTTAATTTTATTTATGGTATTCTGTCTAATTTAATTTATATCAGTAATGTGAAATGTGATTAATTTTAGCGGATGCTAACTTCCCTCTACAACAGAAACACTCTCGGAATTAACACTCAGTGTAAAATACGGCAGTGTTCTAAATGTCATAGTGATACTGAGTTTTACTGTATCACTTGTAAACACGACCTTTGTCTACAGTGTAAGCAAGAACATGCTACATACTCAGCTAATAAATATCACAAATTAGTGTTCTATAGAACCCGCTACTGTGAAAGGAGCACAGCAAGTACATGTAAGGTACGGCAGTGTCCTCAATGTCGGGGGGACACAGAATTCCACTGTAACACGTGTAATCGTGATTTGTGTCTACAGTGTAAAGAGAGACATCTTACTGATATAGATACCAAAATCCATGATGTTGTGATTTACCGTGAGAAATATAAATACGTGCTAAAACAAGAAGTATGTGTGACACATCAAGACAGAACATATAAAAAATATTGTCACTCATGTGAACTTCCCATCTGTTATCAATGTTCAATTCACAAAAACCACGAAATACTGGATATTAAAAGGGTTTATATAACGAAGCGTCAACAACACAGAGAAGTCATTCATAACATCAGAAGTAAAATTCCCTTTAACAACTTTTTTCTTCTGGCAGAAATAAAAACCGATCTCAATATATGTCACAAAAAAATATCCAAAACAAAATCAAAAATGTTTGCAAAAGCCAGCAGAATAAAGGATATTATTGATACTCTGAATTATGATGTGAAAACCATGCATAAAAGGTCATTGATTTTTAGACATAAACAACTAATAAAAAATATGAAGAAATATCTTCCCAGCATTGAATTCTATAAACACAGACTTGAACAGTCCCAATATAGACCGGTAGAATTCCTCTCATTCCTAAAGAAAAACAATGTCCCCATTATAAAAGTCACTCCATTTCGTATACAAGACACCCTGCTTACCCTTACTGGTGAAATACACACGAAGGATATACTAAGATTGCTATGCGAAGTCCACATTGTAGAGACAACAAAAAGACAAGTGGGAAATGAATGCCTTTTGAAACTGATGTCTTCCCCCGTGTTACAAAGATCTGTCTCATTGACAGGTATTACTACTGTCAGTCACATTTCCTGTGTAACACCAGACCAGGTCTGGATAAGTGATTATCTGTATAACAATCTATTATTAATAAACACCGTAGGAGATACATTGCATCAATTGACAGATAGATGTAGCGGATGGGGAGTATACACAGTCGACATCGGAGGCAATCTTATTTATATAGACAAAGAATATAACATTAGCAAATTATGTGAGAATAACAGACGAAAGGTTAAACTGATAAAGTCAACAAATGAACCATGGAGACCACGCTGTATCTATTCTTGCCCTTCGTGTGGAGATCTACTGGCTGTAATGTGGAATATCGATACAAAGACAATTAACGTAACCCGTTATACTAGCATTGGTCAACATATACAGACGATACAACAAAACAGCAGAGGTCAGGACATTTATAGTTATCCTAAATACATTACAGAGAACAACAATGGAGATATAGTTGTGTCTGACTTCAATAATGGTGTAGTTGTGACAGAGGTTGGAGGGAAATATCGTTTCTCGTACACTGGTCCTCCATCCAAATCAGGTCTAGACCCACTAGGAATCTGCACGGACGCACTGTCACACATCCTTGTATGTGATGGTTACACTCGCGCAGTACATATGATTGACAAGGATGGTCACTTTTTGTCAATGTTACCCCTCACAAAACAACAAAATATACATGAACCTTGGAGTCTATGTTATGATAAAAAATCTCACCTTCTCTGGGTTGGGTCACTTGATGGTAGAGTAAATGTTTACAGACACATTGAGAGGAAGGACAAAGTGCCAGATAATAAAAATCATTTTTACTAGAAACATGTACATTAATATACCAAGTAGATGATGTTTATAACAAATGTATAGCAAAGTATATAGCATAAACATGAAACTTGCTCAGCCCTTTTAATTTCGTTAACGAACCTCATATTCTCTATATAATACAAATAAATCTGATAAAGCTGTTTATTTCCTTGTAGCCTCAATGATTAAAATAAAATCAAAACTGAAAGAACGAGTATATGAAATAATATAATAAGCATATAATTATATCAATTTTATTTTCATATGGTATTAAAAGGACGAACACTTTTACTGGGCTTCAATTTAAGAACATAATTGAACTCTTTCCTATGCTATTATTATTATTTGAAACCATAAGAGCTGAATATGTAACACTGAGTAAAAATTGCAAATCATTGATATTATATATTATACTTCAATTTAAATTAGTGTTTAATTAACACTTGCCAATGTATGTTTTAGAGTCACATTGGAAATAGCCTTGAGGCTTTAATGGGTTATCCTAATATCAAATGTGTGTAGATGTGATGTAATTTCTTGTATTCATTTATACATGCATAACTCAATTCCATTGTCCTTCAATATGAATATTACTTATTTTTTTTATTTAATGTTTAATGATGTATTAAACAACACTTAACTCTTCATTCTTTTGTGTTTCATAAAACAAATTCATGCTAATATCTCTAAAGCAAGATGGTCTTGGCGATCAATATAAATGTTGGAATATTTTACTGTGAGTACCTTTGAAGAATGCAGACCTCGGTGAATTTACGTTTATTATTTATCAAAAATTATGCCACAGTTAGGTTCAGCATAGGTCAAATAGATAGCATATCTTTCACGTCCTATTGGAAAAAATTAAACTTTTTATACATTTTTAAAAGTTTAAGTAATTGCTAATAATCACTTTTGTCCAAATTTCCTACTTTCATACTAGTTTTCGACTTTGTCTATTGTCTATGTTTGTGTAAGGCTAAGCTGACAGTGAAAACAAGCTTTGAACAGATTGGAAGTCCTCGATCAATACATTATTTCTTATTTAATCTTGAAATGTTCAAACATCTGTTCTTATAAATATAAATGGTCATATGCCAGAAACAATATAAAAAAAACTTGATAAATATTCAATAGCATACTGCATACAGCTTGCAGGAGACAAATTTAAGAAAACACACATATGTAATATTGTACACAGAATAATGGAGAAAAGAGGTTAAGGAAAGCAAATGGGATACATCACGGTGAATGCAAAAAAAGGAGAATATAATTTCAAGGATAAAGGGGATATATGCACATAATGAGCTATCAAGGAAAAGCAGATTTAAGGTAATGTTCAGGGTCTCAATGTCATAACCCTGATATATTAACAAAGAATTTTACCTGGTGATACAAGAAGAATATATAGATAATATTGTATTCTGGAATTCATATGATGTCATATCAGCCCGAGAGTTGAAATCCCAAGGGCTGTAATTGTAAATGATATGAATTTCAGCATTAAGTATTCTTTCTAACATTTAATGAAAATACCTGTTATCATAGTTATTTACGAATATTTAGAACGTGTGTGTGATCTAATTTTCAAAAATCAATGTCGCCAATTTTAATTTTCTTAGATAAATTAAGTCATAATTTATAGTAAGGTATAAATTATAAATATATTGAAAAAAAAACATAATCATTTTAAACATTTTTCAAACGTTTCCTCGAGTTTGATATGCGGGTTTTTTTTTTTTGCATGCTGCTGGCATACCTGCGTGATATGAATTGAGTTGATATGTAGTATTATGACGTCACTCGTATCACACAGTGAGAATCTGGTCTAATCAACATTTAGATATATCGACGACGCATTGTCAATTAACGATGGTTACTTCCATTCTCATGTCGGTATAATATATCCCGGTGAACTTAAGATAAAAGAAACGACAGAGTCTAAAACATATATTTCATATTTGGATACTTCACTTGATGGTAATCTAACAACCAAGCTTTATAGACATGATGGGGAAATACCGGGAAAAAACCGTCGATAGATATATAATCTTATACATCTTGAAGTTTCAAAGTTAGAAGACGTAGTGGATAGATACCAAGTTAACCCTGTGTTTGGCAGCGTGATAGATCTCGGTGTATATGTCCCTCTGCTTTTCAGTCGATAAAAATATATGTGGAAACTTTCCCCTATTTCTCTGTTTTACTATGTTTTAGATACTATTTGTGAGGCCATAATTCATATACACACTGGACTGTCGACGGTTTTTCCCCGGTATTTCCCCATCATGGCAAGGAGCTTATCCCTTCTTGGCACTTGATCCAACTCCTGATGTTTTAGGGGAACATGTTTGCTCTGCTCCAAATTTGTATTGTATACTGGACTTTTGTGCTTGAATACTGTTCTTGTTGGAAATTTCTTGGATCCGCCCTTTTCAACAATATTTATTTCATGATAGAAATTAAGTGAAGAAAAAAATCAAAATAAGACGTTCAGGTGATCTACACTTTATTTGCACCTTTTTACATAAAATTTCCTCGTTGTCAAACATTCAAATACATGGCCCATTTATATCCGGAACAATTATTTTTTTCCCGACAAATTAGGGTCCTTTTTATTCTTTGAGAAATGGAAGTTACTGAAAAATCTGGCTTGAGGACCGGTTCATAAACTCACACTATAAGAAACTGCGGGAATTTGTATCTTTTTCGTCGCTTTTTTTTTTATAAATGCTTGTGAGAACGAGATTTACTTTCTTTTATTTTTTTACCTGTGGATGAAATATCGATTTCATGGAAACAGGAAACTATTAAATAGTTCGGATAAGCTTTACAAAGGATGAAACTTTTCAAATAAAAAGAATTAAATCTACAATTTCAATAATTCCGTTCTAAATATATTTGCTAACCGCCCATTCATTGTTCATCTCGTTTGATCAGGATCAGATTTACCTAACTGAAAAGTTTCATCCTTTGTAAAGCTTATCCGAACTATTTAATAGGTTCCTGTTTCCATGAAATCGATATTCAAATATGTGTTAAATTTCTTGACTCATAGATTACCCCAACAGAAGAGAAATATGAAAATACATCTTTCCAGCAAAGAAAAATTTGAACACACATTTGAACAATCAGCAAGAAGACCAGTAAACTTCCTCTTATTTCTGATGAAAGCATGTGTTTCTAATTTCAGAGGCACTCTTAATCTTTCAAAACACGCTATGCTCTACTTCATTGATGAAATCAACATATGGGATGTTATAAAGTTATTGATAGAAATCCACGTCATAGAGGCAGGAAAGAGAGCAGTAAGGAATGAACTGATGTCAACACCTGTGTTAAACAAACCCATTATAAAGACGTACGTACCTCTGTTACATCAAAACTAGCCTGGGTCAGTGATTTCAGTTGGAATAATCTCATGATGATTAACAAAGCAAGTAAAGTACTTCATAATCGGAAAGATTTACAAGCCGGCCATGGAGTACATACATTGAATGATACAGGTGATGTTATTTATATTGACAGGCATTTCAACGTCAAAAAACTCTGTAGGAATAACTAAACAAAGTGTACACTAATAAAAACATCAGGACCATGGCGAACTCAGAGTATCTACTGCTCAGCATTCAATGGGGACCTACTGGTCGGGATGTGGAATTATGAATCATTTATAGAGAATAAGGAAAGCAAAATAAACCGTTATAATAACACTGGAGAACTAATACAAACAATACAACATGACAGCACAGGGCATAAACTGTATAGTGATGCTACATACATCACAGAGAACCACAATGGCGATATAATTGTTTCTGACCGTTGGCGTCCTGTGGTAGTGGTGACAGATCGTGGAGGAGTACACCGCTTCTCTTACACAGGACATCCGCCAGAATCTATACTTTTACTAGCTGGAATCTGCTCAGATGCGTTCTCACATATTCTGGTTTGTGATAAGTTTTCAGTGCATATGCTTGACAAAGACGGCACATTCTTGTCACAGAAGATAATGGCATATACAGACCAAGGGGTATATGTTATGATGAAAAAACCCACCTTCTTTGGATCGGATCAATGGACGCCGGAGTGTATGTATACAGATACATTAAAAGAAAGATCGACTGTCTGACAGGTGAATGCAATAAGTTATATTCTTTTAATGCATGCATTTAGACAAAATATTATGAAGATATCAATTAAATGATTGTAATGATACATGACAGAAATATGTGACATGTATTGCTGATTTGTGACGTTAGACAGTAAATTGTACCGGTATTTTAATAATTACATTTGAAGACAGAATTATTTTATTTTATGAAAAAAGTTTCTTTAGATAGTCCAAACTTCTTTGGAAACATAGTGACCACTCCTTAGACACTTCTAGATTTCTATATTTCCTTATCCACTCATAGAGGATGTTAACTTTTTAAATCTGTGTATGACACTCATTGTAGAGCATATATTGAATTTCATTTTCCATCCGTAGCTAAGGTAGACGATCCAAAAAGAACATAGGATGGAAGAAAAAGGAAATCTAAGAAAGTGAAATGATATAAATTCAATGTCTATATAACAGGCCGTCAATATTTCCCTAGGAGGATTGTGACAACCTGGACAAACTGTAATATGGGTAAAACTCGGTTTTTAAATTGTTCCTAGTTGATTTTGATTCAGTAGGAAAAAGAAAATTAACTAATCATAAATAGACAAAAAATAAACTTTATGAAATATATGCTTTGTTTTGATTCTTCTTAAACATAGTTGATTATTTTGATAGTTATTGATGGTATGCATTTAGCAATCATTGAAGAAATAAAATATAAGATTATGAACGGTAATCAAGGTTTAAAAATTGTTGTAGTATTACATATTAGGACTTCTTAAAAACCAGTGCTGGGATCAGGTGCCATGGAGAAGCAGGCACTTACAGTCCCAAGTAGATACATGTACGTCATTACCGGTGATGGTACTTAAGTGGGAAATGAACACTAAAGCCAACCATCTATAAGGATCTTATACGAGGAAGCCGGTACCTTTCCATTGGAAACAGGACCTCGTTTCAATTATGAATTATGTCCAAGAATTTCCGAAATGTTGCGCTGAATATAAATGAGAAAACATAAACCCCTTGTCAAATAGATTGGATCATAAAAAAATACGTTAGAAATCGTATTGAAAATAAATTTAAAAAGCAATATACAAACAAATATCCATCATTTTCGACATATTAGAAAGACTGCATAAACAATATGTTTTGGTTACAGCTGACATTGCTGGTTAAAAGGCTGGACCCTGACTTCTGACTATGCATAATTCTCAGTTTTTTGTCCAATGTTGTTATTCAATCCAAGGTATATACACTGGGGACATGTATATTGCTATTTGGGGGTATAATGTATGTTTTTCTACATTGATTACAGTTGAGTCGACATGCCGCAATAGAAAAGATGTTCCTGGTGATATATCCCTTTAATTGAAGTGTTTTTCTTTTCACAGTTTAATTGATTGATTTCGCATTTTGTCACCGACAGGTTGCTCATGAAAAGATTCGGACCGACGAAAGTTCCTCCTCTTGTAAATCATCCCTGTAAAGGCGTCACTTCCTCTGTTCTTTTCGTCTGCTTTGTGTATATACACTGGGTATATTGCTATTTTGGGGGTATAATGTATGTTTTTTCTACATTGATAATAGTTGAGTCGACATGCCGCATAAAAAAAGATGTTCCTGATGATTATGTCCACTTTAATTCAATTATCCCTGTAAAGGCGTCACTTCCTCTGTTCTTTTCGTCTGCTTTTCCCTAAAGATATTCCTCCGCCGATTACACTTGAACATTCGACATACTTCCAACCGGAAAGATCTTCCACACAAAACATAAATACCAAAGTTAATGCAGTAGTTTGTATAACTGACAACTGAAAATAACTCTAAATATGGTCTCATCTTTAACAAGATGTGCTGACCAATGTGTATCCTGCTTTCGTCTGTGTAATACAGAAGGATACTCGTACACACAAACTGGGGAAACATGGTGATGATGAACACGAAGCCTATCAATAGTAACATGGTTGTCGCCTTCCTCGTGCTGCCTAAAGATGGCGGAGAGTCATCTCCTGCCTCTTTCTTTATGACATAAATCTTGTAGATGACCGCACAATTACACGACAGGACAATGACGCAGGGTAAAGCGAACAGTAGACTCAGATGATAGCCGTACTGATGTAGATAAACATAGAGGGATAGGTACTCCTGTACCGCCATACAGTATCCTCTCACATTCTCTATAAATAGAATCCGAAAGATCTGTGTCAAGGACAAGATGGCGATAGTTATTGTTACGAGAATCGCAACACTAAACCTTCTACGAAGAAATGTTCTTTTGAATGGGAAACACACAGCTTGGACTCTTTCTACTGATAAACACACAATTAGCCAGGATGAACCAAGGAGGAAAACGTGCTTTAAGAAGTTATAAATCTTACATACACTGTTGGGAAGGTCTGTGTAAAAGCTGGATTGATGCCCGGTTTTATAAACAACCATTTCATCTGCTAGCTCTATTTGGTTGATTAACAAATTCAGACTGTCAAAGACGGCCAATACACACAGAAGCTGACTGTACGATTGCGTGCGCAGTCTCTGTGAGTAGCACATCACCAAGAAAGACAAAGTATTTCCTGTTAGTCCGACAGCAGTAACAATAGGGGTCGCCACGTGTTTTACCCAGAATCCCCAAATCGATATTTCCGGTGGATTAACTAAAAAATATAATTCCATATCATCAGTGCATGCATTTAACAATTAATGACTTTTTTCAAAGTATGTAAAAAAATAAGAAAGTAAAACGTACATATAATAGTGTTGTTCGTGGAACTATTCCAGATCATGGTGAAAGATCCATTATAATCCATGTTACTGAAAAAAGAGATAGTCCAATGAAAATGAATTTAAAAACAAATGTTTAAGAAACTGTTGATTGTTAGCCGAAACATCTAGAATCCATCAAATAAAAGAATAATCTCATTTTAGCAGTGTTATTTTGACAAGTGAATGATGGCACATGTTAATTGTTACAAACGGTCTATGCTGTTGACATCACCTTGTTTAGATCAATTGATAACGATCCAAGTTTCCATTTTTACAATCATTTTATAATGTCTATGAGCAACTGTCCTGACTTCATAATTCTATTTTTGAATTTTCATCCTACTTATTGTGACTAAAATATTAAGACTTTCAGTTAATAAATTATAACCACTAAAAGTCTCGATTCACAGTGTTTGTTAGAGGTGATTAATGATATTTTCTATATTTTGTTACCTTCTGCTATCGAATACACAGAAAATATTGAAACAAATACACTCATTGCCTAAAAACACCTGGACATGATGACTTTGACCTGATGATAAGGACATAATGACCTAATTGAGTGGCGGGAAAAGTCTCAGCTGATTTACTAGTCCTCAAACATTCCATCATTCCGACAAGCCTCGAGTGCTTAATGTATTTAAAAATAAAGGGGTATTTTTAGATAATTGTTTATTTTTTACTGTAAGAAAACCTTTAACTGGAAATTGTCGTTCATGGTCAAGTATAGAAAGGAGAGTTTGAAGAACACATATTTATCTTTCAAACTAGTTCAAAATATTGTTGAAGTTCAGTAAAGAATAAAACTTGATTAGATGTAACCTTATTTTACGTCAGTATTTGAAAAGAACTTTCTAACGTTGAAATTATTTAAAAGTTATGTTTTATTTGAGGAGTAAGCAAGATAAAGTGTCAATAAAAAATGTCTATTTATTAAACTTAATGATGAAAGTCATATTTGTCTAAACCAACATTGATGCCTCTTTTTTACTATGTCTGTGTAGTTTTCTATCGGAGACGTTACCCTTTCCGTGTGTAGGGCTTACAAACAATGCCACTAAAAAAAATTAATAATGGAATACAAAGCCAAGAAATTTTGAAGAATAATTAATATGGCCTGATAGGTGTATGTATGTTCGCTTCTTAAGTTTGTTGCTTAAGGCGGTAAGCTTTTTTAAATAGCTCTACTTGTTAAATTAATTCCGTCCTAATAATTTACGATAATCTTATGAGAAACTTGTATCATTCTTCAAAGTGCTGACGTTTTTCATACCAATTGTTAGTCCATTATTTATACACTAAATTAAATTGACTACGGATTTTTTCCGTTATTTCCTGATAATGACAAGGAGCACACGGCGGGTGTGACCGGTCGGTAGGGGATGCTCACTCCTCCGTGGCACCTGATCCAACCTCTGATGTTTCGGGGGTCCGATTTTGCTGCTCTTATTTTGTATTTTTTATGGACTTTGAGATTGAATACTGTTCGTTATCTCCATATCCTTCTTGCAGGGAAGAGGTAACGTCATATTTCTATGATGTGAACATTACGTGTATGTTGCGTCACAGTTCTGTAAGTCGTAAAGAGTTAGTTGCCGTAATTCATTTTTCAAATACATTAAATTTCCAAAATATGAATGTAACTTTTATCATCAGTAATATATCACTGCTTTCATTTCGATGCATTGTTAAATAAATAAAGGATATAAATAAATCATAACAAAAATACTTACAATATCGAGAAATTAAAATTTTGCTTATAAACATTCCCGTGCTTACAATTAGAAAAATCCTATTCTATTGTTGATGATTTCAAATGCACTACATGTTTGTTCTAGTCGTTAATGATATATCTATTCGAGTTACATCAATGGTGAATTGTGTCCGTTTAATTAGATCACACGAAAGAGATAAACTTATGTGTACAACAAGATAAAAGTAAAACCTGACGATAAACACCAATATAAATATCATACTCATCAGTCTTATGCACAACAAAATTACTGAAATAGGCGAAATGTTAGGCATAACCAGTAAATATTCCTAGTCGACCAGTTATCCTCACTGTCTGTCCAAATTGTAAATATGGCATTATTTCTAGATTGCTGATGGTTTTCTGTCTCGTTTTCCCGATCATGACAAGAAGCACACTGTGCATGTTGAACATGCCTGAAGTCGATCCTCACTCCTCCATGGAATAATTATGTGAACCCATCTCTGACGTTTTGGAGGTCCGTATATGTATTTGCTCTGTTTCATAAAAGAATTGTTTAATTTGACTTTAGGCTTGAAAACAATTCGTTATCACCATGCAACATATGGAGATAACAAACAGTATTCAAGCTAAGCACAGTCCATTAAACAATACAAAATAGAAGCAGAGCTAACAAGTGCAAGGACCTAAAATATAACCAAGTTCAACCAGGAATGGGATACCCCTGCCTACCGTTGACAACAGCCGTGTGCTCACGAAATAACGGAAAAATCCGGCAAATATTGTGTAAATAATCCCCTAACAATGAGTATGACAAACATCAGTCAGCGGATTTGACTTATGATAAATTGTTTTTGCTGACAAGGTAATAAATTGTATCGACCATAGAACCTATGAAATGATGACTTTGAAATAGACTGTCGATACTCTTATTTCATCAACCTGTTTCGTCAACAATTCACTTCGTTATAGAAATTGTACCTGCGTACAGCATGATCTTTCGTATGGTATCAACTGAGAGAAATACATCCCGTATGCAGGTGTTGAAGGTGTATTTCTGCAGGAGTAAGAGAAATTGAAGATTGAAAAGTCAAAGCCATCACATTAATTATAGAGCATGGTTGTAAAATTACCATTAATGCTTTTTTCAAGTAAAATATCCAAATATATGTAGGACTCCAAGGTGCGATGAGACTCCAAAGTCCGATGGTCTGCGCCAAACCCCGATGGTTTGACAAGCCAAAGTCCGATGGTGCGGAAAAACAATTAACGTTTATGACGTCATAGTACTAATCTGCCAAACTACAATGCCTCATCATGCCAAGGTTATAAATAAGTATTGATAATTATCACAATGCGAAAACAAACTATTATCTCGCGCATAGTTGTGAAACTAACCCTGATCGCTCGAAAAGTGTGTAGGCCTAACAACTATATAGATATCTAGATATCTTGGGTAGGTGCGATACTAACCTTAATAACTCGACTAGTGTGCAAGGACTTATCCAAATCAAAGCAATTAAAAGGAATACCCTAATCCGTTGAGTGGTGTGCGAGGAGTTATCCTAATATCTCTCAAATATGTAAGCAATACGCAAAAAATAAATGAATAAATAAAAGCGTACATGCAAGGATAAATTCGAAAATTATGGCATTTTAATGCAGGAAAACGGCGTCAAAGATTGACGTCGAATTATTGTGACGTCATGAACGTCGATTGTTTCTCCACACCATCGGACTTTGGCGTGTCAGACCATCGTACTTTAGCGCAACGTGTCTCATAGGAAACGAGCCATCGGACTTTGGCGTGACCATCGTACTTTAGAATCCGTACCGTCAAAAACCATCGGGGTTTGGCGCAGACCATCGGGGTTTGGCGAGACCATCGGACTTTGGCGTAACCATCGGACCTTGGAGTCTTACATATATGTCAGACTTTATGACATCTTTTTATCTCATGTTCACCGAGATACATGTATATAGCATCGACATAAGAATGGACATAACATAACCACTGTTAGATGACAATACGTTGTCGTATATCTCAAAGTCAAATCGAAGATACATGAAATGCTTTCGCGTTTAAGATTTTGGACATATATATTTTACTTCATATGATTACAAAAATAGGTCTGCTACATGTAATAACGGGTGCAATTGGTACCCATGGGAATTCCAATACATTGTTGGAAGACCTGGTCTCCAAAAAATAAATAGATATTTTTAATAAAAAATTCAAGCATCTTTTTAATATCAGATTCAGAGTACCAGAATGTTTTTAACAAAATATCTTTGTAAATGAGATATTCCATCGTTAATTTATTTCAAATTCTGCCCATGGATGCATCTCTTTGTTCAGCGAAGCAAAGCAAGAAAATCTATATATAAAATATGTAGGTATGAATATAACAAGAACAATATTTTCAATACGAATTTTTTTTATTTTCATATTAATTCAACATCCATCCCGAAAAAGATGTTCTGCTCCGAAGAATACTTTGAAAGTTCTTGCGTGTTTGATCTCCTGTACGCACATAAATGTGATCTCCTTGATTAATGTCTGCCACAACAATACCTGTGGCAAAATCCCAATCTACTGTACTAGTCGAGTCCGCGTCACGTGTGCCCAGCACATCGGCGTTTCTCATGAGCTGGGTGTATACCTCATCACCTGGATCTGACATGATACCCCGGTAAAAACGTAAGTTCTCGATACAGGCGTTATGAAAAGGCCGTCATACGCCCGATACCCGTTACCTTTGTTCAGGGACACCACGTCAAACTGGATAATATGGTGTTCACCAAGGGTGCCTGGTGTGTTATGTGAGAGGTGAGCATGGAAAGCGATAATACCCACTGGAGCTGTCGTCGGGTGTACTGTAATTAATATGATATGTTGTTATGTATTTCTCTGTAAGTAAATAACACCGGTTAGAGCTGTCGGATGATGTATGTTATCATATAGATATTGCATATATTTGAGTGTAACATTGAAAATTTTCACCCCAAGAAAACTATTGTCAATCGAGGCAAAGCTAATCAGGATATATCGAATCGACATAAGATGACTTTAAACAGTTCCATTGAAGTCGATTTTAAAGAACAACAACTCTTAATATTGCAAAATCATAAACTTCTGGTTATTTCCCTTTGATGACGTGAAATATGACGAAACTTAAATGCCATTTCTGAGGTATTTTATTTTCACAACAGTTATAGAATTTAAGAAATGATTACATTAAACAAGACTGCTGATATTTTTGTTTCATCAACTTGCTTGTCAATGATTTACATCGTTTCAGATATTGTTCATATATAGAGCACGCTCTTGAGTATCGAATCAATTGAGATATATACACTACGTATGCAGGTGATGAAGGTATATTGCTACATAAGTAAGGAAAGTTGACGATAGAAAAGTTAAAGTCGTCACGTTTATCATATAACTTGGTTGTTAGGTTACCATTAATGTCTTTTTCAAGTAAAATATTCAAGTATGAAACAGATGTGTCAGACTCTGTGGTGTCTTTTATCTCAAGCTCTCCTGGATTCATCGTATCGACGTAGGAATGGAAGTTACCAATGTTAATTGACAATACGTCGTCGATATATCTGAAGGTCGACTTGAAAGCCACAGCAAGTGTTTTATTCTTTTCATACATAAAATTTTGCATACATTCTGCTTCATGTGAATACAAAAATAAAATAGGTCTGCTAATAACGGAGCGTAATTGGTTCCCATGGGAATTCCAATAGATTGTAGGAAGACCTGGTCTCCAAAAACCACATAGATATTGTCAATCAGAAACTCAAGCATCTTCTTGATGTCAACTTTAGGGTACTTGTGTGTACAATCTTGGACTTAATAACAATTTTTTTGAATTTAATCGGGATAGTAAAAATTATCTTATATATTCAGAAAATGATTTTAATTTTTATATATTACTGAAGAAATTGATAATTTTAAGCTGAATTTGGGCAACTTTGTTGAACAAACTTTCATTATATATTTGCTATATTTGCCAAATATGATGCCAAATTTAATGATAATTGATTTAATATATTATAATTTAGGACCAGCATGGAACATTTCTTTCCACAAAATTACTCTGTGTGTAGCTTGCATGCAAAAATTGGAGTGAAAACTTAACAATACTGAATACTTCGAAAGAGGAAAAATTGATAGTTTTTCCCTCTAAAACAAAAACGTCCGCCGCAAAATATTGTTCCTCAATATTTTTTTATGAAATTTAATAAGGTGATCTTAACTGAATAGAGTTTGATTAGAATATTGAAATACATATATATTGCAAGATTTTATTATGTGGAATTTTTTAGATATAGACCAAGACAAAAATCTGACCTTGTTAAGGAGAGGAATTTTTTCCAAATGTGTTGAAAGAGTCGAAGAAGAGGGAAGGAAATTTCAAAATAAGTAACACCAAGATAAATAGTTTGTTTTGTAAAATAATCAAGCACTAGAGGGCATCGATCTTCCGAATGTATGATTTTTTCTTTCTTCCCGTCCCTCCTCGCTGATTTGGCAGATTATTTACAATAGAAATTTTTCTTCCTTCATTGAAATTCCTAGACAGGCAAATTTTACCAGTACATGTATTATTTCTTAAATGCAATGCTAATCATGGGTCATAATAAAATATGAATGTCTACAAAAAGCTATTTCACAATTTTTATGCTTCATGTTTATAATCTAATGTCTATGTAAGAATAAAAAATGACATCTCACGGACTTTAGCACCGGCTCCTCAGTGACCCTACGCATGTGCTCAAAAGTGTAAAGGCGACTGAAATAAAATTTAACAAAAAATAAACTACCAAACAAAGTCCTATTTAGAAATTACCAAAAAAAGAACATACTTGACAATACAATGTACCTTCACAACACGCCACTGTAGATATAGATTACTTAGATAATTGATTTAAAATAACGGAGTTGTACTGAATACAAAATTTATCTGCATTGCTGCATTATTTAAATTGATCAGATTTGTCAGTGTTTTTGTCATACCAATGAACTTTCTGGCCTTTTATAATTCAAAGCACTTGTCACTGCTAATACAAGTTAAATACCAAGATATGATCTCTTTTATAATATGAGAAGTCTTCAAGTCTTATGTAATATCCATTGACTACAAGCCTTTGTAAACTGCTTGTTAATAATTAAGGTTGAAACTTGTTCTCAAATTCAGATATCTGGAGTACTCTAATATTTTACGAGGTGCTAGTCCTTCACTTGGATCTATATAAATGTTTCATATGTATGTATATTTCATCAAATATTACTTATTTATTGAAGGAAATTATCCTATTTACAATATCAATTAAATATAACAGTTTTCGTATTAAAAGCTGAGAGAGAGGGGGGGGTATATTAAATTCATTTTAAATTGGAAAAAAATATATTGGTATCGTTCATCTGGTAAAACTGCTAATTTTGGAGTTGCTATGTAAAAGCACTTTTAAATTCAAACTTTTTAAATCAAGATTGCAAGAAACTTGTCAAAATTAAATCAACGTCTTCTATTTCCATTACTTATTTCCTTTTTTGTAGCAGTGTTAACATTTCCTGACTGGATATGGTGTTGACGTACATCGGTTGCGACTCATTATGCAGTATATTAGGGTAAGATTTTTCAAGATAAAATCAAGACTCAAAACGTCTTAACTTTTGTTCGTGGTAATACTTCCTAATTTGAATTATATCAGTAATGTGAAATGTTATTGATTATTTTTATTGATTAATTTTAGTAGATGCTAAATACCCTCAACAACAGGAAAACACTCGGAATTAACACACAGTGTAAAATACGGTAGTGTTCTAAATGACATAGAGATACTGAGTTTTACTGTATCACTTGTAAACACGACCTTTGTCTACAGTGTAAGGAAGAACATGTTACATACTCAGCGACTAGATATCACAAAGTGGTGATCTATAGAACCAGCTACTGTGAAAGAAACGCAGCCATCACATATAAAGTACGACAGTGTTCTCAATGTCAGGGGGCACAGAATTCTACTGCAACACATGTAAATATGGCCTGTGTCTATTGTGTAAAGAGGAACATGTTATTAATCTAGATACCAAAAACCATGACGTTGTGATTTACCGGGAGAAATATGAATACATGCTAAAACAAGAAATCTGTGCGACACATCAAGACAGAACATATCAAAAATACTGTCGCTCATGTGAACTTCCTATCTGTTATCAAAGCTCATGTAACGTGCAACGCGGCCGAGCTTGTGTGTTTGGTGATATGTCTTGTATCACCGAGGCGTTACACTTAGGTTCGTTAACCTGTTAACTCAGGTTTTTGTTGACCAAATAAAATTACAATATATACAAATACAATGGGTTTCTTCTTGATTGGACAACCACTAGCTGTGGTCAACGGGTATCTCCCGTACACAAATTTCTTCTTGTCCTGCCACTCCACAAGTACTGTATCCTGGCACTTCCCCCACCTTTATTTGTGGTATGCCACCTCTCTAAATATATGACCAAGTGGCTGCCTTATTCAGGTCTTACGCTTTGGTTCACTGTTAAACACTTAGCCGTCTATTCCCCGCAACCGTCTGCCTTATTCAGATCTTATGACGGCATATAGGAGACGAAACGAACTAACTTTTATCAACTCCGTCACCAGAGAGGTCTCAAAGTAACTATAATACAGCTTGTATTATCTCAATGCAGTCTCAGCATAGTGGCATATTCATACTACTTGTATGATCGTAAAATTCATATTTTTTAGTGTTTAAGACTTTAAAAAAGAAACGTAGGTCTAACGTTTATACGAAACTAAACAATGAAAATCAACTTCCGTTTCACTACCCTCCCCTCAAGATTATATGCGTCCCGCATATGACTGACTATTTACAATATTTACAAAACTGTACAATGCCTGGCAAGTGTTTGTCATCTCTCTAGTACAAGACGTAGTCTTCCACCTACTGTGGTTTTCTCCTACGTCTAACAGGGATGTCGTCTCCATCAAATTGGTTATTTGACTCTTGTTCTTCTTCTGCTTCATCACCTAGAGGTTCAGACTCGTCCTCTGGTACCGTCCTCTCAATATCAGGTATATCGCCTTGCAAAATGTGAGGGTACTTACGACGCATCCTGTCGACATGTATCACTTGTGGTTTTCCACCACGTCCACAGTCAACTTTGTAGGTGAGATCTGTCATCTTTGATAGCACCTTATAAGGACCCCGCCAGTAACTGGTAAATTTTGGCGAGCGACCCGCCTTCCGAATGGGAAAGAATACATAGACTTGGCAGTCTGGCTCAAATTTCTGCCATGACAATTTTTGGTCGTGATACTTCTTTTGTCTAACCATGGCTGTTTTTATGTTCTTTCTGACATGTTTGTGTGCACTTTCCATGGTTTCTTTTAATTCCCAGGCCCACTTGTCTCTGGGAATGTGCTGCACTGATCTGGGCATCTCGAACATGATGTCAAGCGGTGTTGAGACTTCTCTTCCCAGCATCAGGTAATTGGGAGTGTAGCCAGTTGTCTCGTGAACGGAAGCCCTGTAAGCCATCATTACAAATGGTAGGTGTTTGTCCCAATCTGAATGATGGTCGTTCACGTATGCGCTTAACATTGTCACTAGCGTCTTGTTAAAACGCTCTACCATTCCATCACTTTGTGGATGG